GGGCCTCACCCTTACACATGGTGCCTAAAAGCGACGGTTCCTGGCGGCCTTGTGGTGATTTCCGTCGGCTTAACAACATTACCACGCATGACCGTTACCCCATTCCGCACATTCAGGATTTTTCCGCGCGTTTGGCTGGCACCCCAATTTTTTCCAAAGTGGGTTTGGTCCGTGGTTATCACCAGGTGCCCGTGCAGGCGGATGATGTGCCCAAAACCGCAGTGATAACCCCGTTCGGGCTTTTCGAATTCCTGCGCATGCCTTTTGGGCTGAAGGGGGCTGCACAGACTTTTCAAAGATTGATGGACTGTGTGTTGCGCGACCTCGATTTTGTGTTCGTCTATCTCGACGATATTCTGGTAGCCAGTCCTTCACCGGAACACCTGTCGCACTTATCGACGGTTTTCAAGCGTCTTGATTCACATGGCCTGATCGTTAACCTGGTGAAATGTCAATTTGGTCTGTGTGAGATTGATTTCTTGGGCCGCCGCATTTCAGCACAGGGCGCTATCCCCTTGCCCGCCAAAGTGCAGGCGGTGGTGGATTTCCCCCGCCCCGCTTCAGTTAAGGCGCTGCAAGAGTTTTTGGGCATGGTTAATTTTCATAACCGGTTCCTTCCTCGCGCAGCCCAACTTCTGCAGCCACTTTACGGCGCCTTGAGGAAGAAGAAGGCTCATGATCCTATCGAGTGGTCTCCACAACGGGCAGAGGCGTTTCAACAAGCTAAGGACGCTCTCTCGCAAGTGCAGCCCTCCTGGTCCACCCGATTGCAACCGCGCAAGTGGCTTTAACTACGGATGCGTCGGATATTGCTGTTGGGGCGGTGGTTGAGCAGCTGGTGGAGAACGTATGGCAGCCCCTTGCGTTTTTCAGTCGTAAGCTGCGGGATAATGAATGCAAGTATAGCGTTTTTGACAGAGAGTTGCTGGCACTCGATCTTGCGACGCGCCATTTTTGTTTCCTTCTGGAAGGACGCCCTTTCACCGCTTTTGTGGACCACAGGCCACTTACATTTGGAATGTCAAAGGTTACGGAACCGTGGTCGGCTCGGAAGCAACGGCACCTAGCGGCCATTTCTGAGTTCACAACTGACATTCAGCATGTGGCCGGTAAGTATAACCCTGTGGCTGATTGTTTGTCGCGCGCAATTGTATGTCCGGTCCAGCTCGGGGTTGATTTTACCGAAATGGCCGCCGACCAATCCGAGGATCCTGACATCCGCAACCTCAAGGCAGCCAGTACGGCTCTAAAACTTGAGGAGGTAATAATGCGTGCTTTGATTCGCCATTGTCTCTCACACCCTAGCGTTCGTGCGTCAGTCAAGCTAGTTGGGGCCAAGTTTGTCTGGCCTGGACTACGCAAGGACGTCAGGAGGTGGGCGGCTGCATGCGTGGCGTTCGCCCTGGTGTCCACCGGCACACCAGGGCGAACCTTGAACCTTTTCCAATTCCGGCCAGGCGATTTGACCACGTCCACGTGGACCTGGTAGGCCCCCTCCCTCCGTCGCAGGGTTTCACACATCTA